AAAAAAAAAAAAAAAAAAATTTAAAGACCCAATCCAAAAATGGCCATCTGAAATGAGTATCTTTTTAGATGAAGAAGTAAAAATTGCAAATAGGTATATGAAAAAATGTTCAACATCACTGGTCATTCAAGAGATACAAAATAAAACAACACTGAGATTCCATCTCACTCCAGAAAGAATGGCTGTCATCAAGAAATCAACCAATAAGAAATGCTGGGGCGGGGGGCTGTGGGGAAAAAAGAATCCTTTTCCTCTGTTGGTGGAAGTGTAGATTGGTGTGACCACTATGGAAATTAGGGTGGAGATTCCTCAAAAAACTAAAACTAGAGGTTCCATTCAACCCAGGTATTCCCCTTCTTGGTATCTTCCTGGAAGAATTAAAAGCATCATACCACTGTGATATATGCACACCAATGTGTACAGTGGCATGGTTTATAACAGCTAAATCTTGAAAACAGCCTAAAAGCCCATCAACCAATGAATAGATACAGAAGATGTGGGGTTTTTTTTAATACAATGGAGTATTACTCTGCCATGAAGAAGGACAAGCTTGAGACATTTCTAGCTAAATGGAAGGTCAGTTCTGGTGTGAGAAAACAGGAGTATAGACAAGGGCCAAAATGCATACTAGATATTGGGAAATGGAAATAAAATGTACAGAGGAGAACGGGAATAAGAGAGGGGAAGGGAGAAAGGATGGAAGGGACAAGAAAAAAGAATAAAAGGAAAAATTGGAAGCAAAGCTTTTCTAAATAAGAAGGGGAAGAGAGGCTGAAGGAGGGGAATGGGAAAAAAAGAAGCCACTTGTATCGTGTACAAATTCCCTATGATGAGCGTGATCACTGTGTGAATCTAAAATGCACCAAGAACAAAGTATATAAGAGAATTAGACTGCAGATCTAACAAGGCCCGACTTTAACACTCTGCCGATGAGCAGTCTGACTCAGAAAAGACCTCTGCCGCCTCAGCGGTGGTGACTTGGGTAGGTGAGGCCACCACTGCACTCACAGCTCGGCCTGCGCATCTCCCAATCTGAGGACATACAAAGAAAACTAACAGAACATGAGAAGTTTCGTCACTGGGTTACTTTTGTCATGCAGTGACAAGACTGAAAAATTAGTGAAGTTTTAAGAGTATTCACACACAAAAAACAACCAGTCCAGAGGACCCACGTGGCAGTGTTGTCCCAGGCACCGTCCCCGGGCAGCTGTGGGGCCTGAGAACACTGCCTTCCGCTTCGCCGCCCCACAGTTCCGTCAGCACAGGCAGAGCACAAGGCGGGTCAGCACATACCCACTGCGTCAGCACCGTCTCCTTCATCGAGTCTGTGAACGCCACCGCAAACCTAGCAAATGAGCAAAAACAACAGAAGCAATTAGGCCAGAATTCAATTAACGTAACCGCGAAACAGCTCTCTGGAACAAATTATGAGAGACAGGGTGAGACGCTAAATTCAAAGTGCAATCAATCTGCATTACTCGTGGTCACTGACCACTGGGCTTCACCTCCACTCACACCAGGAAAAGGGGTGGCGCTGCCAGGAGCAACCAGATGACGTTCGAAACTCCCTGTCCTTCTTGTTCCTTCCACGCAAGGGCAGAGAAGCAGGGGCAAATTTTTCAAAAACAGAAAACAAGGCATAGGAGAGTGTTACGGTCTGTGTGTCCGTGTGTTCCCCAAGGCCTCATGGGCTTAGGGGATTAGAGTGATCGGATTGGGGTGGGCTGCAGCTGCCTCGGTGCTGGAAGGTGCAGTGTGACTGGGAAGGGCTAACCTCCCCCCCACCCCCGCCTCCCTTCACTCTCTGCTTCCTGTACCCCGCGGGGTGAGCAGTTCTCCCCTGCTGGCCCCTCCTGCCATGGCCCCTGCCTGGGGGCCAGCCACCTATCAACTAAACGCAAGAACCAAAAGGAAGCCCTCCTTTAAGTTGTGAGTACTGTGCATTTCATCCCAGCAGAAAGAAAAGTGACTAAGACAGAGAGAAGCAAGGAAGTCGTCCACCCGCCCTGAGTGCTGCAGAGAAGGTGACCCGCCCATCACCTCTACAAGGGCAGGCAGAGGCACGCACCCAAGATCTGCTGGGGGTGCCCACCGAAAACCGCAGCCTGCCCTCACCCTCGGGCAGGGACCTGGGGTGACCTCTGCATTTCCACACGGTTCAGTGGGATCGGTAGCAAACGTGCAGAGGACCAAAGGAAGAAGATGAAGGCGAAGGTAATCTGCTTCTGTGCTTCTCAGGAGCTGCAGGGCGGTGAGCAGCCACCGTTTAATGGCAGCGCACATCACCCCCCGGAGAGGGACAGCACAGAGATGCTCCTCTTTACCAGTTTGGGTGAGAAATCCAGCGACACCTCAGACCAAATCCACAAATGCATGTCCACTGGAAGTCAACAAAATAACTATAAAGTTCATAGTGTAAGGAGTAACAAACTCCCAGAAAATCCTGATGAAGAGGAACTCAGAGACGGGGCTTGTATTAGATGTCATAACATATTCGAAGCGTAAAAATTAAGATAGTGTTGATGATGTAAGAAAAACCAGGAGGAGCAAAACCCAACACAGGCAGGACTCAGACCTAAATATACCTGAGAATCCCACACAGCACGAAACCAGGTATGGGCTTAGCAAAGAAAAGTTAGTTTCCTTCCTCACAGCAGATATCTACAAAGATAGTTCCAGAGTCAACAAAAATGATAAAGCTGTAAGAGAGCTACAAAACCGTGCCTGCATCTCGGGTCTCTAAGGACCTGACGAAGATTCTCTGAGAACACAAAGGAACACATCTTAAAGAGGAGGTAGATTTGATTATGTAAAAGCAAAGCCCATTTAAAAGTCTCCATCTAAGCCACTCGGAAAAAACGTGCTCTCACCAAGGTCAAGGGGACCCCCGCATTGAGGGACCCAACGGTTCTACCTATTACACTGCCCTGCTGGCAGCATGGGGCACAGGGGCCTCTGCTTACCCCTTGGCCTTTGCACGGTCCCCAAGATGGGTTCTGTCCCACCCCCCAGGGCACTGGGTCTCAGGCCCCCTCTCTGACCTCTCGCCCCAGTGTCTCAAGGGGTGCCGCTACGCTTCTCCCAGTTCCCAAGGTGTCAAGTAGCACCAATGTTGAGACTCCCCACTGTACAGCTCCGACACCCTCTTCTTGCGCGTCCTCTAACACACTTCCTTCCTCTCCTGGGCTCCTGAAACAAGCCTCCACCTCAGCAAGTCCAACATGAGGACCAAGAATCCCCAGATCTAGAGACGGGTACCCATTCCCAACTCTGCCCGCGAGGAGAGCCGAGAATAAACGGCACCCATACGCAAGGAGCGCAGATCTTGGTTTCTGAGTAGCATTCGCCAGAAGAAGGAACAAGGTGTCCTTTCGGAAGCAGCCATTTGTAGAAGCAGGACAAGATGTGGCTGGACAAACCAGGGACGGCGTACGGTGCCAGGAAGTAGGAACGTGCTCAAGAAGGAGAAGCCACGTCAGCACAACCCAGGCACCAACTCAAACACGTCCGGGGCCAAAGGTGGGACAATTTGGACACCAAAGTAAATACCAGGAGTGGACTATCCATAGGAGAAAGTAGAGTAAGGTCTGCGTGGGCTCACATCTACATGCCCCCCACCGCCTCACAGGTGGGGCTCCGCAGCTGTGACTGGATACGGGGTGTGGCCCTCATCAGTTAGGAGGAGGGTTAGTCGGCCATGAGTTCATAGCTAGCCGTGATGCTGGGAGGTGGGTGATGCTCCTCCTGGCGGAGGAGCTGGAGCGTGGGGGCGTGGCCCGGCAGGGTCTGTCTCCCTCCTCCTCCCTTGATCCCTCCTGCTTCCCATCACCCTGCCAGGGACTGTTTACTGAAACCTCCACACTGGAGCCTAAATAAACCTGTCCTCCTTTAACTGGTAGGTGCTGGGTATTGTGTCACAGTAACGGAAAGCGCCTGTGTCCCTGTGAATAAATAATCGAATCCGTAGGCGGGGTCAAAGGGACGACTCCTCCTTATCACAGTGGAACTCCAGTTCATGAATGGAGAAGGTGCAGCGCCGACAGGAAATCAGCATCCGGCGAATACGGCGGGGAAAGAATCATTCGAGGGGGGAGCAGGACCTGGAAGGGCAGGGTTCTCCCCTGAAGGCGCTCTTGGCACCCTCTGCCTTCCTCAAGCGTCCTCTGCACATGGCAAGGACAGCAGGGAGGGGTCTGATCTCACCAGACTGCACAGTGGGACCGGGTCACCCTCCTGGCGCCAGGCACAGCTGGGGGGATGAGGGTGGGGCCTAGCCAGGACTGCGCCATTGGCACCAGTGACGAGCTGCTCCCCGTTCCCCCTTAAGACGGAGAGGAAGGTCAGTCAACTGAACTCCGCTCGGATCGTGCCATCCTGTGACGCTGGGATAAAAGGTGGGGCCCTAAATAACATCGGCCTAAGGTCGGGCACTTCAGGGAGGGCCGTGACCTGGAGAAACGTCAGAACCAGGCAAGTCAGAAACACACGGCATGGAGACTGCTTGCCGCGGCCCCTGGTCCCTTGCTAATAACCATAAAAGCTTTCTGCTGCTGTCTTCCAGGAGAACCAACACCACTGTCAGGCTCCTACAGCCCAGACCACCCCGCACGGCCATGGACAGACGTGACGGCCTTGAACTTGCCGGAGGAGAGAAACAAATCAAGCCCCCGAAAGAGGAGAGGAGCCGCCGGGGCGCGTCTACACCTCACACTCAGGGGCCGTCCTCAGGGACACATCTGCAAGAAGCTAAACCCACAAATGTGACGAGCACGGGTCCCGGGTTCCCCATGGGAAGGGCAGCTCTACAGGGACGGGAACAGGGCTGTGTTCACGGCTGCTCCCAGTCCTCCAGCGGTGCCCGGTACCCAGCAGGCGGCAGGACCCTGTCCGACTCAGAGGACAAGAGCAGGGACACAGCTCTGACCTCAACTCTGACAGAAAGGCGGACAGGGCAGGGGCAGGGGCGGGACACCCAGGCGCGAACCAGAGGTGACCTGAGGGAGCCAGGCTGTGTGTGTTCACCGCCATCACCATGGGGACCCCGGCTTCGGGTACCCTACCCCACGGCCTGGGGCAGGAGTCTTGGAGACTTTCGTCCCAAGGAGTGAAAGGACCAGGTGAGGGGAGGGTGCTGCAGCAGGTGCCTCAGTCCCGCCAGACACGCTTGGTTTATTCCAGATCCGCAGGTGACAGGACTCTCCCTAAGAGAGGACGTGTGAGGAGGGCCTGGTCCCAAGGCCTGGGATGGTAGGAAAATAAATAACACCTTTCTCAGGACAAATACAAAGGAGCTACTTCTGCACTGTTGGCTGAATTTTGCCATTTCAAAATAGACTTATTCACTTTGATACATGATTCTGCTTATGAGAAACGTTTTCGGTAAGCTGGTCATGGTAACGCATGCCTGTTATCCCAGCACTCAGGAGGCTGAGGCAGGAGGATTGCTGTGGATTCAAGGCCAGCATGGGCTACACAATGAGTTTAAGATCACCTGAACTACATAAAGAGACCCTGTCACAAAAAAAGAAACAAAACAGATAAAAATCTTTAGTAAAACTATAGCTCAAATTGTGCATAATGACTAATATTTAGCTATTTTTAACCTGCAAAGCAGTAAATTTGCATAGTTTAACCTAATCTGTGCTACATATTTCCTAACTGTGAAATTTTTTTTTTTTTGTCTGATTGAGACAATGTCTCGCTGTGCATTTCAGGCTGGCCTTGAGCTCACTGTGTAGCCCCAGCTGGCCTCGAACTCACAACAATCCTCTTGCCTCAGCCTCCCGAGTGCCGGCATTACAAGCATGCGCCACCACGCCTGGCTCTGTGAAACTATTTTTGAGGTCCTCATTCTAACAATATTAAGTTTCTTTCACTGTACCCTTGGATGACCCTTCACAAAACAATATCCTCGAATTTTGAGTACTTTTTATTTAATGTTGACATTTATAATTATCAAATACATATTACAGTACCTATAAACTGAAAGGCTGATGCTAAATTGAGTACCGTATTCTACAGGAAAAAACTTTTAAATACTGAAATAGTTCAAGTTCTACCCCATAAAAATCCAATGATTTAAAAGTATTTGATTAAAAATAAAATACTCATCATAAAGCTAGACAAATTTAATATTTCGTTTTGCAGGGGAAAATGTCCTGTATTGTGCTAGACAGGGAGTCTACGATTCATGCCGCTTTCCCGACGCTAACCGCAGTCAATACCCCCCCAAACAACAACCAGTATCTGTTGTAATAACAAAGCAATGAATAATACTAATGATAATATTGTACGGTGGAGTCACTCAATACGGTCTCTGGTAAACAGAATTATTTTCCTTCTATAACATTAGGTTATGAATCACAGGAATCTAAAGGTAATACATTTTTAGGGTGCAAGAACATTTTTAAGAAAACCTGTAATGATAGATCACCTATCACCAGCAACCCCGAAGTGATTCTATACCTGTTTGCCATCTCACACACGCACACACACGCACACACACACACACACACACACACACGTGTGTCTCTGTCTGAAACGTTTGTTTTCCACAGAAGCTGCGTCCAGAGTACTGGGAAGAGCACGCACCCCATCACCTTGGCCTCGGGGGCGATCCCCACACTCACCGGCGGGAGGAAGCATGGGCCCCGCCGGGCCCTGCAGCCCTGACCGTGAACGGGGAGGGGAGGCCCCATGGAAAGGACACCTCAGAGGACTCCGCACTGCCTGCCGGGCTTCTGGGGCGGGGCTTACAGCTGAGCCACAGCAAGCCCACAGCGAGGAGTCTACAGAGCTAAAAGCCGGTCGCTGGCTCTCTGTTTTTATCGCAGATTTCACGCAGCGGAAGGCGGCTTGGGCCAGGCCCGCGGGGATAAGGTAGGCTCGGAGCCCAGGCCCACATGGGCCCAGGTGAGACCCTCACCTGCCTGCACCCTGGACCAGGGAGGCTCGGGGCACAGAGCGCCGCCCAGCCTGGGTCCAACGAGGCCTGCTGGCCCTACAGATCTCTCCACTGGTGAAGTTCGTCACTTGGGAGAACATGTATATGACTTTCAATCCAATCCCTCTTCTTTCACGATTGGTGTAGGATCTGACCTTAGAGGATGGGTACTGCTGTTAGCATCATCTATTTCTTATTACTGCATTTGTTATACAAAGCAAACGGAGCGGGTTCTCCCACCAAGACTCCCAGTTTGCTCCGGTCTGCTGTGCAGCTGTGGTTGTCTTCTAGGTCTGCCCTGTCTCTAGACAAAGACACAACCTGCGTCGAATGCAGATCCTAACGCTTCCATCGGCCTCCAGACCACGCAGGCCTCTGTCCGCACTGGGATGAAGGTCCCTGCGTGAGCGGCAGAGACGGTGCAAGAGAAGGAAAGGACCGAGGACGGCCCCCACCCGGCCACTCTAATAAGGGCTAACGCCGGGGGCTGCCTCTCCACCCCATGCTGACCCACACTGACTAGGGGCTCCTGTCTTTCTTCTGCAAAGTGACCCAGGTCAAAGTTCAGCTTGTTCACAGGGCTCTGTTCTGGCTGTTTGTCTGCCGGGACCTAGGGCTTGAGACGAGGTAAACCGCACCTCCTATAACGAGCCCAGACACTGGACATCGCGGGGAGCCAACAGTGGGAGCCGCTGTAGCCGGGGCAGTGACACCCCTCCCCACAGCTGAGAATTCTGGGGGGCACCCTGGGTTGTCACAGCCCAGCCGACCTCAGGGATACTTATGACGAGCAGCTAAGGGCCCGTGATGATTGGGAACACACATTGCAGCAGACAGGGTCACAGTTTTGGATGCCACAGGTTGGGAGGCTGAGGCAGGAGGAATGCCACCCTGTGGGCGGAGGCCACCCTGGGCTACATAATCCATTCAAGAATTTAAGGCTGGTATGAACTACCTAGCAAGATCCTCTCACAAAAAATCAAAAGGAAAATCAAAAGCAGGCCAGCTCTGACCCCCTCAGAAAGGGTTAATAGATCCAAAAATAGCGACTTGGGCAAACTGAGAGAAGCTGGGCCCTAAACTGGGCTGGTAAAGGCCCACCGGCCTGCGCGCTGCCTGGAGAGCGAAGACCCTGTCCTGTGTGCGCTACGGCGCCTCCCGAGGATGCTCATCCGGGGCTCACCGGGGGGGGCCAAGCGCAGCCTGCTCACAGCCGTGGTGCGGTAAAATAAATCGGTGCCGGAGGAGAGCAAGGTGGCTCGGGGCTGGTTCACCGGGTGAGACGCAAGCCTGCCGGGCGCCTTCTCATCTTGTTTCAGTCAGCTCCCCAGCGATAACCACGTATGGTTCTTCTGTTTCGTCTCTCTTCCCTTTAGTTGGTACCAGTGCGGGCTTGTACCGCGGCAGACCCTTGCTGGACGGGACCTCTCCGATCTCACCTGGCCTCCTGGAGCACTCTCCCCATCACTTCCTTCTTCTCTTCCTGGCCGGCGTCTTCGTTTACATCCGTGCCGCCAAAGATGACCCCGAAAGGGACCCCGTGACCTGCAACACGGCGGCGAGAGGAGGCAGAGGTTAGTGCGGGAGCGGCCCCCGCCCACCACCGACCATGGCCAGAGCAGCCGACGTCACCACAAGCAGGGCGCGGTCTGTCGGCGGCTGGCTCAGCGGCACCCAGTTCTGCTGGGCAGGACGCCAGCATTGCTGTGATAAGCCGGGCCCTGGACGAGCCGGGGAGACACCAGCCGAGACACCACCACTGGCATCAGGGCTATTTGCTTTCAGTTAATTCACTTTAAATTTAATAGTGAAGCCATTTAATAGGGCAGCATTGCGCACGCCTGTAATCCCGGCACTCCGAAGGGTGAGGCAGGAGGGTTGCCTCAAGTTTGAGGCCAGCCTGGGCTATATACTTAGTTCAGGGGCAGCCTGAACTGCACAGCAAGACCCTGTCTCCCCCGCAAAAAAAAAATGTAACAGTGAAAAAAATATCACTCGAGACCATCTGTCAGCGCCAAGCCTCTCCTTCCTTGAGAAGGAGCCAGCCTGCAGCCATGCAGGGTTATAGCACAGACAAGCAAACCGAGCTGGGTTCATCGCGGTGCCTGCGAGCAGCCGCCAGGGTGGGAGAGACGGGGTGTCCACAGGCCCGAGGACTCGTGCGGGGCGGGTGTGCAGGGCTGCTTTCGGACGGTGTGAGGAGGGGCCCCTGGGTGACGGTGACGGAGGCCCAGGTGGACAGCCGCACCACACGGGAAGGGGAGGGTCTTCGGGGACTAATGCCTCCCACGTCCGCGGCCCCAGGGCCTACGAGTGATGGTTAACCCTGACCGTCCACTGCTCTGACCGAGAGGAGGCCGGATCGGCGGAGCACACTCGGTGTGCCGAGGCGTCTCCACGGGCGATACGCAGGCGGGCGATTCCTGAGCCCTCTTCCTGTCTGTCCAGCTTCACTGCAGAGAACTCCACCTCCCACTTCTCTAAGCAGGACTGGGAAGCACAGGAAGCTACTGGCCACTAGAAGGAGCTGAGGAAGCACCCACAGGAAGTGAGAGGCAGGCGCCCAGGTGTGTGTGTGTGTGTGTGTGTGTGTGTGTGTGTGTGTGTGCTCACATGTAAAGACTGACAGTATCGCTAGGCAAGTGCAAAAAATGCACATCTGTTGCCTACGGGTGTCCATAAGAATAAGCACACTGCTGTGGGCACAGCCTCGTGCGTGTGGAAAGCAGCCGGGAGGCGCAGGTCCGGGATGGGGTGGGAGGGACGCTTCACCCTGCAACTCCTGCCGTGCTCGGCCCTGAAACACGCAGACATCGCAAAGCCCACCCAGGCACATGGTGGGCAGGGGGCTTAGGTGTCGGGCGCTGTGCTGGGAGCAGGTGAATGAGTTCCCTGCACCACAAGGACACAAACCTTCGGACCAAAGGGGGTCATGGTTCGGAGGATGACTGCCCCCAACCCCATCCGCGGCCTCCTGATTGGCAAGACCCAGGAATGGGAAAGAGGAGTTGGGAATTTAGGGGCAGACAGAGGCAGGGTTGCCACTCCACTGAACGCAGAATCGGGGAGGAGAGGGGGTTGTCCGAGGAGCCCAACGCAGACACCAGAGTCCTGGGAAGGAAGCGGGGAGATGAGCGCATGCACAGCCCGGGAAGCCAGCCCTGCCGCTCCCAGTCTGCGGAAAGCAGGCCGTGCCCCTAGCTGCTGACCACGGCCCCGGAAGCCGGAGGGGCACAGCCCGGCCAGTCGTGGCTGAGGTGCAGAGGCCTCAGTCAGCGCCAGCTTCCGGGGCTGTGGAGAAGCAGCAGCGACTTGAGGGAAAGTGCCACAGCCACACGGAGCTCAGACACAGGGTGACTGCCATGCCGGGAGCTTCCCGATGGAAACACTCCCGGGGGAAGGGAGCACACGGCGCAAGTCCCTTATAGTGCCTCTGCCAGAGAGCGACAAACACATGCAAGAAGACACATGTGGAAAACTTAAGAAGCCGCTTCACAGGGGAGGGCCCGGTTAGTGAGCAGACAGTCGGCCTTGCGAACTCAGTGAGCCAGCCCAGAACTCCAGAACTAAATCCACCAAGGGCAGGGCTGGGCTTGGAGGAGCACACCTCTAATCCCAGCACGTGGGAGGCTGAGGCAGGAGGACTGCAAGTTCAAGTCCCGCCTGCACAACTTACCGAGACGCCGCTCCAAAAATGAAACAAAAGGCTGGAAAGGTAGCTCAGAGCAAGGCCCTGGGTTCAATCCCCAGTACCAACAACAGCAAACAAGAAAACTGGCGAGGATATGGGGTAGAAAGTGAAGTACACATGCGTTACAGTGCAGTGGGCAAGGCTCGAGGTGTGGGCTCCACACGCCCTGGAGGAGAATCCCAGCCCCACCGGAAGGCCCGCTGGGTGTCTGGCTCGGGGTTTGGGGACACTGGCTGGCCACCTCTGAGCGGTGGGAGCACTGCCAGTGGGCTGACGGCCGGGATTGGAGCACAGATAGGTGGACACCTGCTTCCTGCGGCCCCACACGGGGCAGCTCGGCCACAGAGCTCTGCGCCAAAGGAGGCTCCAATCTGTCAGCCTGGAAGTTCTTGGAATTAAATTGGCGCTTAGGGGAACGGAATGAGATGCCTCCTTTACCACACTCGTTCTTTTGTTAAGAAAACAACGCTTCAAATAAGTTGTATATTAGTCTTAACGGCAAAAGACTTTTGCAAGTTCGCCCATCATCGTGCCTGAGGAATTCTAGATCTTTAGGACTTCCTTTGCTATAGCACGATGTGTATCCAGCACACGCACAGCCTCGTGCTTCACCACCGTGTGTATTTATGGAGCACATATGCGCCCGTGCAGCGGCAAACTCAAGCTGACACGCACGCTACCTCACCCACTCATCCTTCCGCGCTGCACAGCGCAAATCCACTCTCGGCAGCTCTCAAGTCCAGGCACGTTCTCATCTCTCCTCAGCCTGCTGCACGCTGGAGCTCCTGAGCTTTTCCTTCTACGGAACAGAAGTTTTGTAACTTCTGACCAGCACTGCCTGCGACCCCACTTCAGCACCTGGTAACAACCGCTCCAGGCTCTGCTTCTGGGAATGAACCTCATGGATTCCAATCTGAGAGAGACCAGGCAGGTGGGGCTGGCTCCACCTAACCCAACGCCCTCCGGATTCTCGGGGCTGGGGGACAAGCGACCGGGATTCCCTCTCTTCACAGCTACCACCCGCTGATAGTACACAGGCCCCAGTCCCCGTCAGGGCATCCGCGGGCGGATGCCCAGGTCAGCTCTCCATCCCAGCCACTGGGAACAGTGCCCCAAAGCGCACGGGTTGACGCTCCAAAGAGAACGGAGAAACCCTTCCCAGAGGAGCCCGCACACCCTGGCATCACGACACTGTCTGCACCGGAGGGAGAGCAGAAGTGAGACGGCCGCTCCTGGCCAGTGGAAATGAGACGGTCTCCTCCACGACAGAGAAATTTTCTTTCTCCTGCATGAGGGAATGAACCCAGGGCCTCCTGTGTGCTGGGCAAGTGTTCTACCACACTCCAGCCCCACAGGAAATGCTTTGAATGGATTTTTAGGTAAAAATGGTTAACCAAACTATCATTATGATATGGCTGCAATTGCAAAAATGCACATATACAAGCCAGGCATGATGGTGCACACCTGTAATCCCAGCATT